TGATTACAGATGCCAAGAGGAGGTGAAAATATTTGTGAAAGATTAGGGTTATTAGAATATTGGTGTAATATGGAAATATTTATTGATATTGTTGTAGAAATCTAACTGGGATTATAAATACATTTAATTTAAGAATTAATCTAATGATGAATCATGCACTCTGGGACAAAGGTCAATCTAACAATCTGTTGTTTTGTAGAAGCGCGAGGCCAGGGACGGGAGAGGGAGAGATGCTAGCTTGGTATCTGGTCCAAGGAGCACGGTGCCCTGGTCATACTGATTTCTCTTCTTAATATCAGTCGTATCAGAGTGAGACCTCGGGAGAGAGGGGGTTTTGAGCGACTGTTACCACTTAATCTCGGACTCAGAGACGCCATAGATAGACTTTTTTGTTTGTTCCATCCTATTAATACGGGAGAGAGTGAGCACTAGTCAGCAGATCTACTCGAGACCTGTATATATGTATATGTACATTTACTGAGATAATAAACCATACTTTGATTGTTTTACAGCGCTTGGTTGTTTATTTTATATTTCATTATTGTGTCCTTTACTCTCCAGAAAAATTCAACAACAATAGGTTGCATTGATGTGACACCACAGTGCTCCAAAGAGCCTATAAAGGTTAAAATATTGGTGGAGAGCAGCTGAAAAATCCTTCCTGATAACAATGGTGACCTCCAAAAGTCCGATTTAGCGAGTGAGTTAGTAGTAAGTAAATAAGTGAGTAAGAAAGTAAGTAAATAAATGAGTTAGTAAGAAAGTAAGTATACCTATATAATTAACTAATCAAATAATAAAGAGAGTCACCATTTCTCTACCGGTGAAAAGATCGAGCTCTTCTTGAGTTCTTGCCTCAGTTTGGACAAGTTTGGACATCTTATTGACTGACTCTTATTGGCTCATCATGCTCTGTAGGAGGCACAGTTGCTGTAAAACTCACAAAAGCATGCTTTCAGATGTGCATACACACTAAAAATTAATTGAGTACTTGTCAATAGTTGAAAGCGGCGCGGACTAAACAAAGACATTTGGCAGAGAAACTGAGAACCGATGCATCAAACACTCAGAATCGACGGAGAAACTCAGAAGACCAGAAGAACAGACACTTGAAATCATCTTTCATTTGTTCCTGGAGTTGGTTTTTACGTTTGGCTTTGACTTTGAATAATAACTGCACAAACTGTCACTTTGAGGAGCGATAGTTTGATGCGGACGGAAAGTGTACAACTGTTTTCAGGGAGGATGCAAACGTGAATAAACATAGATCCAAGCCTGTATATCACTCTGGTTTTGTCGCTTGTTCTAAATAACAACATTTTTTTCACAAAACTTTTATTAATTGGGTTTATTATTGCTGAAAGAAACAATAAAAAAGAATAACCATAACAACAATAATTAAAGCCGCAAGCGGCGATGAAAGGCCTCGCCCCTCTTGCGACCGCCTCCTGGGCGCCAGTCCCACAAGCGTCACACCGAGGAATTGGCAGCCCGATCTGACCAGGATTACGTATATAAAAGCTCATTTATATGATAAAGTGCGTCCCTAGTGGTCACCTCCGGGACATGCACCCTCTACGTAGAGTAGTATTTTGCTCGTACAGATGTAAAGATTTGATTTTGCAACTTTGGTGAAGATCGGAAAAGTTTAGGTCAGAAGCCTTACATAGGTGGCGCTGTAGAGTCATATTAGGTGTGTGTTTTCACACCATTACTCTCAGGCCATTACCAACTGTTAGCGATGTGAGTTTCAGCTCTGTAGGTCTGAGCCTGTGGTCAGGAGAGCATCAAACATGGAGAAATTCCCCACTACCTCGCATGAAAACGATAACAAAATTCTAACTTTTATGCGATGATTGCATAACTTCAACCCGTCCAGATGGAGAAATGACATGGTAGAAGTCTGTGCGATGAAAATCCAGGGACTAGTACGAAGCCAAAAATGCGACACCTTGAACTGCCTGTAGGTGGCGCTGTTGCACTCACAGTTGTGTGTTGTATATCGTTGTGTTCAGGGTCATACGCTGTATTTCTGAATCCATTTTTAGCCTCATCGGACAAACATTTTGCCCCAAAAAGCTCATCTATTCACTTTACGGCGCCCCCAGTGGTCAGGTGTGGGACGTACAACTTTTGCGTAATGTAATGTTTTGCTCGTCTCGGTCCAGAGAATACACTCAGCGATTTTCGGGCCGATCCGAGCACTAGTGCCCTATTACTTTCCGACAGGTGGCGCTAAAGAGCTCAAATTGGGCGAATGATTTTAGTGTCATTGCGTTCAGGCCATAACCTAATATTACTGATGTGAGTCTCAGCTCTGTAGGTCTGAGCCTGTGGCCCTCAGGGCTCAGCGAAAATGGCCAAAACGAAGGCCTTATTCGCCATGGCGAGGGACAAAAACGGTGAAGATTTTCTAACTTTTTTTCGATGATTATATAACTTCAATCCGTCCAGATTGGGAAATGACGTGGTAGAACTGTGTGTGATGAAAAACCAGGGACTAGTTCGAATTTCTAAATGAAAAGTCAAATTAGTGGCGAAACTTTGGCCCATCATGGCCGACTTCCTGTTGGTCCCAGACATGTGCTTAGAACGGCTTTTATGCTCGTCTCATAGAGATCTATCACTCATCCGAATTTCGTATACCTACTCAAAAATTTGAAAAAAAATCCCCAGAGGGTCCAAAAAAATGAAATTTCTAGGGGGCGTTATAGAGTCGGCGAGCGTCGGACAATCTGGAAACGTTCATTTTATCAAATTTTTCGCCGAACCGGTCGTTTTAGACCCCCCATGTGCAGACTTTCGTGCATGTCTTCAGGGTCAAAAATCGAATTGAAGTTGCGGAAAAAGAAAAAGAATAATAATATGAAACCGGTGAATAACAATAGGCCTCCCCAATACTTCGTATTGGCTCGGCCTAATAATCTATCTTTCCAGGGATCGCAGTGAATAATAGCCTTCAGGCCAATGCCGACCAACTCCGACCTGTCCCAAAACATGTGTATTAATGTGTCGTGTCGCCAAAACCACAATTAAATTAAATCTCTTTGCTCTTTCTCTGCTGTCATCCTTTTGTTTTGTTCTCTGACATTGTCACTGTCTTTGCTCTGGGATAAAAATTATGCATGTGATGTTATGCACTCTAAATGTGCGTTTTTGTCACTACATATTTTCAATGTAGTACACATTCTAGATCTCTATTTCAGTTGGAGGGCAGATTCCAATGCATTGCAATGCTCAGGCCATGATGCATATGTTTCTAAAAAAAATGTCCACTTCTAGAAACCTTTATGAGAAAACAATTAGACTATAGTGGAATATGTACCGACAAAGAAATTGTGGAAGATGTTTTACTTTCATGTGACCTAGGGTTTAGTGACAAATTTCCCTTATACTAAAACTAGAAAAACGATTTTTGACAGTTACCATAGCCACCAAGAAAGATTTTTGATGCTCCTCACCACAATGTTCAACTGGATCAGTGGTATTCAACTCGATTCTCAAAGGGCTGAGTGTCTGCAGGTTTTCATTCCAACCAAGCAGGGACACAGCAGACTCCCTCTTAACCTCAGGGCCGAGCTGAATACCCCTGAATACTCTTTGGAATGTTGTGACATCACATGAACGCAACCTATTGACACAGTAAGTTAAAACCTTTCATGATCCGAATATGTTGGATAAACCAATCATCGTTTTTTCTGTCAAAGTCAATTTTAAGTACAGTCAAACGTGAGGCTGGGATTCATGTTTTTGCTTTTCCTCTTCTAATTAAACATGCAAAGTTGTTTCTCAGGTTCAACCCGACTGTCACAGCTCTCAAAACCGTAACGAGGCTCAGGCAAATGATGCAACACTTACTCTGTGAAATATTCAGATCTGATTGCAGAGTCTTGGATATACAGTTTTTTTTTTTAGTGCTACGAAGGTTAGTCAGTAGAATGTATTAAGTTTGCAGATCGCTGAAGGCAATAACAGTGGGTGACTGGAGGTCTATACTCGCACAACACTCTCTCTATGCGGAGAGGTCAACATAGAACACAAAGATAATAGACAAACAGGCTTTCACTATCTGCTTAAGTCAATTTATCAATAATGCATATTTTAATATTGCCTTTTCTTTCTCAAAGTGCTTTTGCGTGCATCACAAATAAAAGGGGCTTCAGGAGATAATGAAAAATGTAGTCTCCAATCCGCACCAAAATGTAATAATAATGATAATAACAATGCATTGGTTTTATATAGCGCTTTTATGGACACCCCAAGTTGCTTCACATGTCATTATTCTTTCACTCCATACACTGTGGTGAAACAACTATAGCCACTGCTGCCTTGGGACACACTGACAGAAGCGAGGCCACCAAAATGTGCCATCGGCCCCTCTGCCCACCACCAACGCCCAGAGAGACGCCCAGATGTTCCTCTTCACACACACTTCGCTTACAGGCGTCCAGGAAGCATCCCAATTAGATGCCCGAGCCACCTCAACTGACTCTTCTCGACTTGGAAAAGCAGCAGCTCTACTCCAAGCTCCTCCCGTGGGACTGAGCTCCTCAACCTATCTCTAAGGGAGCGCCCAACCACATTAGCTCCTTGCATTTGAGTACATTTTCTTGCCTTTGAGTATATTTTGAAGTATCTTTTGTCTCGTTTTCAGGCAGAAGCCTTTTCTTTCTTCTCTTTCAAAACTGCACAACTCAGGCCTGACTGACTTTTTTCTATTAACTAATTATTTTAACTGCTTAATTCAAGAGTGTATATATATTTATTTATTGTGGTCTTTGTATTTCTATGCTATTTTTTCCATGGTAACTCTTTGGAAGTTGTTGCTTTTACTCCGAACAAATCTAAGCATTTTCAACACACGATAACTAGAACATTGCTTCACAATTGTCCGAAATATTGCAAATAGATTTTCTGCCAAATTCGTGTGGCCCTATCCTTCATCATCCACGGCTGCGCGTTATGACAATGACATTTTATTTGGACAGACTATTGTTTACCTGTGTCTTTGCAGGTAAACTTGGCCTTGGGGTCGCACATCCTCTTGGTCCCCTCGCAGTCCTTCTCGTCTCCTCCGTCTTCACAGTCCTTGTCCCCGTCACACCTCCAGCGCTCAGGTATGCACGTCCCATCGGTGACGCAGAAGAACTCCTCCTCGGCGCACTCGATCACAGACGGAAGCACTGGGAGAACAAGCAGAAGAGGGTTACAGCAATCAGTGCATCCTCACAGACACGGATATTATCACACATGGCTGCTGGTTTAAAGAACACATCCATTACTTATTTGTTTAAGGAAGAAGTACTAAAGAAATGTGTGGAGGAAAAAGACAGTCATCGAGGAGAGAGGTATATGGTCAGTGAATATTTTGGCCTGTGTGGTTTTCAGTTTTTGAGAATGTTTGAGTGTGTGTGTGTGTGTTTCTTGTCTTGTCTTGTCCCATCTTTCTATTGTATTGTGTTTTGTTGCAGCTTACTCTATGATATTGTTTGTATTGTCCAATTACACTGCAGTATGTGTCTTGTTTTTGAATGTGTGAGAAGTGAATAGAAGACTATTTTAAACAGTTTTTTCAGTATTTTTTTTCTACATGAATGCAGTTGAACCCAATAAAGTGAACACATTTAATTCAATTCAATTAAATCTTTGTCCTAAAACGTGCCTTCTTCACATGGATATTTCATGCTGTAGAAATATTACGTAATACACACCAAAGAGTTGAGATGCAATGGCGAGGGGAACAAACAAAAAATCATTGCACACTCAAAAATAGAAATCCAAAATATGATTTATGGGATTACTTTTCGGCCATTATAGTCTTCATCAGAACATTCTTTTATTTTTCTTTGGTACACACAAGACACAGCATATTGTGGTCCGAAGACATTTTTTTAGAAAACACATTAACTTTTGCATACTTTTGTTAGAAAAAGCTCTGTGAGTCACTGTGTATGTATATTTCTATATTTTTACGTGTTGTTATTGTGCTGTTTTGTTTTACTCTCTGTATAAGACATTGGCAAGCCTAGGCTGTTTTAAGTGTGCTCTCCAATTAAAGATTTGATTGATAAATTCTTGAATCTTGAATTGAATCTTGAACTGTTTTGCGAACTAGCTACATGTGAATATTAATAAATTGCTATGCTCTTTGAAGGTTTGAACATTAGGTACCCCAGCTTTAAATGCCCACAACTATTACTCAGTGTCTCCTCTATCAGACTGTAACATAGAAAAGGTGGCCACAGCAGAGCCTAAGGAACCTGAGCCCCATGAGGACTGGGCTGGATCCGCAGCCTCAGGGGACATGGGGGGAGTGCTGTTGTTTCCATTGGTTCTTTGTTTGATGAATAGTCCAACCATCCCAGCGACAGGCCAGTCAGCTGTGAGTTTCCTTTAAAGCTAGCATGAGCCTTCTGCGCTAATTAGATTAAATGATTTGTCGAACCAGCGCTGAAGTCGACCCACTACTGAGCACGGAGAAGATTAGTTACACCTGACTGTGAAAAGTTATTTGACTCAAGCTGATTCATTGTCAAACCCTGAACTTACATGGCCGCAATTAGTTCAGTGATTTTACTTGAGAATGAATGAATTACTCCTTTGTGACAAACTGTTTTAGGGTGTAATGTTTAAATAAGTAAAAACATCCAGCATCGAAAATCCCACTGAAGGTCTAATGAGTGTATCGCAGATGGCTCCATGTCTGAGGTGACAAACAGCTCAGACTCAGGAATAATGTGGTTCTGCAAATGTGGTACCGGCAACTTTTTTTTACAAGTGAAGAAGGTCTCCCACTTTCAGATGGAGTTTGGAAGTGGGCAGAACTTTGTGGGAGAGTAAAATCCACTTTTCAATGACGCCATAGGGAAATCGGAACAAAAAAAATCAGTCAGTATAGGTCGAGTTGGACTGGAACTAGCAATGTGGTTAGAAAATTTGTAAATCTTTGTTAAAGCATGTACACTACTGACATAAGATACATTGTTTTTGTAACCTTGTCCTTTTTTTGAATGCCTTTTATATGTAAAAAAATAATGATAATTTGTATGACCGAATAAACAAACCTTCTACTAAAGTCTTCCTCCCGGATACCTCCCAAAAGAATTTAGAGATTTACACGTCATCCTGAATCATTATATTGCCGGTCATCACATATCTATTTTAAGTACAAATGTATGGTTAAACAGTATTTTGATAAAATTTACATCTGTGCTCTCCATGTTTTGTGGTAGTTATTACATAGACATTTATTATGACTGCAAAAGGGCGTAGCTCCCTGCCACTTGTTATAAGTAGCTCTCCAATTGAGAACGGTTGGAGATCCCTGTCTTAGAACTACATTACCCAGTATTCTTCGAAGTCCCGTGATCATACTTCGAGGCTTTTGATTGGTTGAGCTTTCGTTCCTTCACATTCAACTAGCTAAATTATTTTTGGCTAAAAGTCATTCACCTTGGGGCCCAGTCCTATTCCGTGTCGCAATGATTCATGGGATACAGAGTTTTTATAATCAGGAAGTAATATGTACACAACCTTTTCCTCAATATTATTCTTTCTTTTTGGATTGAAATAAAACCTTCCATGGTCCAAGCTGATACGACAGTGTTTTCTTTCAGTCCCTTGGTAACTGGACCGGGAAAGGCGGGTCTATGGGGCTCTACAGATGTACATTTAGTAATTGTGAAAGCAGAAGAGAGATTATGCTGATTAGGTGAAACATCTTTATCAAGGTTCAGTAAGGAGCCGGGAGGTAGTCTCAGGTGTCGAGCTGCAGGACAAAGCACGAAGAGCTTTGTTCCATCAGCAGCGATTCTTATGAACATATCCTGAGGAGCACCTTTTATTCAGTCATTCTTTAATGTGTTTTAATCATCTTCCTTTTATATCCTTTGAATCTATCCTGGGTTTGAACAAGATAGGACATTGTCTTCATCTTTTGAACTCGTGTCTGTCCTGTCCAGTCATTATTGAAAACTTATTAATACAGTTAAGACACCTGAATCAAGGCTGGTAAAAAATAATCACAACTTTCACTTTTTGATCAAGAGATATGTTTTTTATGCAGTTACATGAATGTATTTAAAGCAGCTCAAACATCCATTTCAGATGCCTCCTTTCCTGGAAATCTCCCTGGGGAGATGTCCTGGAACATCCCCAGGGGAATCCTAAGAACTCCCCTCAGTATTTTAACAAAGCTGTGCGCTTGGCAAAAAAAAGGATAGACTTTTAAGAAATAGAATGTCACAAGCATCAGGTAAAATTCCATAAAAAAAAAAAAAAAAATGTAATATCATGTATTTTACACTTTATTTCTGCATTTTATTGCATTTCATATCTTGTGTTTCTGTGTTTCCCCGGTGCCCGTCTGCAAATGAAGTTCCTCACGGATAAATAACTTACAATTATATAAATTATAACTATTTGAATTGAATTACATTTGCAGTAAAACCAAATTGGAAAACAAAAAAAAGTGCTGCAGCGTGCACTAGGCAAGTACAGAAATATAACAAGCTACTGTAAAGATGTACAGGAATAAAACAAGCTAAAAAGTATAGGATTAAAAAATGCTAAAGTATAGGAATAACACAACTTCCTTTTACTTATTATGGCAATACAATAATTCTGACATTGCAGATCTGAGACATATTGTAAGTGTTAGTATTGAGAAGTACTCACGTGCAGAGCCTCCCCTGCAGGCGGCCCCCTCGTCACTGAAGTCCCCACAGTCGTTGTCCCCGTCACAGGCCCAGTGGTCTGGGATGCAGCGCCCTCCGTTGCACTGGAACTGGTTATTGGAGCAGGACTGGACACATCCGGCTTCATCGCTGTTATCCCCACAGTCGTTCTCTAAAGCCACACATTCACTCCGGTGTTATTCATTAGTTAAAGAGCACAAAGAGAGAGACATAGACGTATTCTCACCGGCGTCGCAGTGCCATTGGATGTTGATGCAGCGTCCGTTTGAGCAGCTGAATTGAGTGAGGGGGTCGCAGGTGGGGTAAGCTGGAGGAGAAAAATATCAAGGTCAATATTTGTCAGTGGATGTGGGAAAAAAACAACTCACACAAATATGGTACATCACAAGGAGATTTTGCAAAGTGTTCTTTTTATTTTTACAATGACCCTTGGTTTACAAAAAGCAGCAAAGCTCGGAATTTATATTCCATATTTCCTTTTGACAGACATTTTTCACATTATGATCAAGGTTTTTTTCAATAACAAGCCCAAAAAGAAAAGTTTCAAGAGGAAAAGTGTGTTCAATATTTGTCTCAATTGTATGTACAGCATATGCCACATGTTATAACACTGTTTTTAAATGTATTCCTAATTATTTCTAAAAATACATTTGATTCAATCAAAGATTCAAGCACATTGTCCATGATGTGAATAATTATCTATAAATGCCTGGATCATCACTGTCCTTAGACCCTCCTGCATTGGCAAAGAACTCAAAAACTCAGTGGGAAAAAGGTTAGAAACACACATTTAGAGAGAGTCGTACAGACAATGGAATCCAGACTGACGTGAACTTGTTTTAGTTTGGAATATTTAAGAAAAAAACTTGAAATATGAGTTGCAATATTTTTCATAAAGTATTGCATCGCATACAAACCAAATAATATAAAAAAAAAGCAAAATTTTAAGTATATGGTGGAAAATGGTGGAAAAATAACGGCAAACTTGTTTTTCACTCACTACAGTCCCTTTACTATTCTGTTGTGGAGCTGACACGGCATTGAACTCCTCAGTTGGATCTATTGGACATGGGCACATTATTTGGGGTCATATATTGTATTTAAACTTGACAATGGCGACAAAGGAAAACAAATTACCGCCTGCACAGTCAGCCAATAGCTGATGTAGCCAATATTGCCTCAGTCAGGTCGACTTCATGAGCTAAATTGGTCTGTTCTAAAGCATCAATATTTCCCATCAGAGACACAGTCAGTGCAGGAATACGGATGTTTTCACCCGTACTGTGGAAGAGGCTGCACTGGCACATATCATTCTCTGTTCCCAGATTGATATATAGAAGACAGGAAGACAGAGTTGGCTGAATATACATTACTGAATGTAACTGTTACACATAATTCACTTCAATTCGATTAAATTCCTGAATCACAACAGGAGTTAACTTAGAGCCAACACAGATCAGATAATCAAACAGTACAAGCACAAAAAATAAAACTATACATGTATAATGTTTGAATGACGTGACATGTTTGTGCCATGTGAACCAACTCGGACTCTGGGGAGCAAAGGGACTGGCCTCCTGCTGGTGCAGAGTCGGGACTAAACATGGAGAGGCAGGATTTCAAATATATGCAGCTAAAATCTGGAATAGTCTTGAAAATGAAAATGTGAGACAGACTTCTACTCTACTGACAATGTTCAAATCCAGGTTAAAAGCAGTTCTGTTTCGCTGTGCGTACAACTTAGGGATTGAATATTCACTCCTTTGAACTGTGATTATTGGGGTTTTAATGCCTTTTACGATTGTATATTTTTTTGTTCGGCACTAAACTGTGCTTTCCAAGATTGATTTGGCTAGTGAAGACATAAAAACAAATGGGAAAGATTCTGAATCCAAGATGCTGTAGTTTTGGCCTCTCATGACTCACTGTAGTTTTGGCCTCTCATGACTCATTCACTAATTATAACAAGAAACAATCTCTGCACTGAGATTTTTTTTTAAGAGCACTTCAAACCGGCAAGTTTTTTTTTCAAAAGTAATGTATCAGTCTATTTCAGTGGTGTACAAGGAGTTCAAATGCGGTTCTTGATAATGTGACGCATTGTGGTAACCAAACTTTTAGGAAGTTACTCACCACTGACTTCCTGACCGGCCAGACACCCCTGTTTTCTGTTCAAATGGAGATATCAAACAGCCAAAACCAGAGCAGGAAACAGCATTGGAAGCATCAAGTCTGGCAATTCTCTAATTGGTTGATCCCATTTTTCAATCAAGCCAATTGGTCCATCTTGTACTCTTCCAGACTATAGTTTGTAAAGGTTTTAAAAGCATGTACTCTGCAGTGTAACGGTAAGCTGAGAGGATTACTGCATACTGTAAAATAACACATGTACAGGTGAAACTCCAAAAAATAGGATATTGTTCATTTATTTCTGTATTCAACATAAAATGATATATACAATAAAAATATGATACAGACTCATTACATGCAAAGTGACATATGCCAAGTTTTTTGTTTCTTATAATTTGGGTTTTTACAATCTATGAGCCATATCATCTATGTTTAAATAATAAAAAACAGTCTTGAAATTTCTCACAAGTGTAAAGTCAAATATTAGTTTCATAGTGCAAGTTGAATAACAGAAGTAAGTTAACTTTTGAGTGGTCCAAGCACAATAAATCAGGACTCTAGAAGAACCAGTACAAGTCTACATTTGGACTCATATTTGAGATACAAACAATAACAAGTGTGTGAATGCATCCTTTGTCACATAATAGCTCAATCTCACCAAAAAGGGTCAGCAGGATAAAAAAAAAAAAAAAAAGAATGTCACATTTAAGTATGTGTCCTGCTTTGGATTGTCCCGGTTTAGTTGCAAGTTCAGTCTTAGATTAGCTTCTAGTTTTGGTGTGTAGTGTGTGTGTAATGTGTGCATGTATGTGTGTGTGTCTGTGTGGATGCATCTTGAGACTGGATCAGAATATGACACAGTTCTCATCCAAACAGAGCAGTGAAATGTTTTGTGATGAGTGAAGCTTCTGTGTGCGTCTGTGTGTGTCCCGGGCTGCTGCAGTACAAACAGGCAGAGTGTAAGCAATGATTAAAGTTCATGCTCGGCTTCGTTCAATCACGCAGCACGGCAAAAAAACAAAACACATTTTCCTCTGGCTGTGGCCTGTGCGGTCTGTGGGCTCTCAGGATCCAAGGTGAAACGCGACTTGAGTTTTTGATTCGGAAATAGTTGCTTACTAGTTGCTTAAATTAGTTGCTTACTACTGGATTGTGGTCAAATTCAAAGGTTCACTGTCACTGGACGACTTTTCTGCCTGTATAAAAGAAAAAGAGATCCTTTAAACGTCCCACAGTGGGGAAATTTCCTAGATGTCCCGGCTTTTGTTAGAATGTACTTCAGACTGGCGTAACATTTTATTATTCATACATTGCCCAGACACTACCCAAGTGTATTCTGGCGAGATGGTTGTGGTCAAGGCAAACTGTTAAAAGATACCCTGAAAGACACTCTGAAAAAAATTGGCACCTGGGAGACAGTGTGTATGAACTGCACACATTGGGGGTCACAAATAAAACAAGGGACGTACGACTATTAATAGGAGCTAATTGAAACTCCTGAGCAAAAACACCAAACAAAGAAGCAGCGCCTTGCCTCAACTACTGGCCATGCACATTCCCTGCTCCCTCTGCCCTCGCCTTTTTCGGCATCAAATCGGGTTGACCAGTCACCTCAAAACCCACTAAGCTGTCCTAATTCATTTGGAGAAAAGACACTCATCTTCGAAACAAAGGTGGAATTATTAGGCCCAAACACTGAGCTGGCGTAGGGACCTATTGCTTTCACACTGGTGAATGCAGGGGTTGCGGTGCGTGATGGACGCGTCAGTGCCCGTCACGCACCAAAACGTGACGGTTGTGTGCGTAAACTTTAAAATGATGTAACATGTGCCATTGAAACCTATATTGTTTTTGCTCAAAAAAGGTCGGAAAAATTCCTTGTTTATTTATTTATTTATTTCTGCTCTGATCAGCAGCTCTGATAGGTCAAAGAGCAGCAGAGCCCCTCTGTGCACCTGCATGAGAGCTACACAGGCGTATTTGGTCTAAAGCATCATGGGAGCTTGTCCACTGCGCAGAACTGGGAGGACCAGACAATTTCTGCTAATCTTTCGGTCCCTATGGCTGTCCCATGTGCCACTAAGTACTAGTCATTCATTTGAATAGGAGTCCAACTTTTTGTGCGCACAGTCCCAAATTGGGTATAAAGTTTGAAAGTAAAATGCACCTTCACTTCAAGTCCTATACAGCACAACCGTGCATAAAACATTTTTTATTTTTGTATACGATATATATTCAGATTCAGATTCATTTATTTGCCATTTGCAGTAAAACCACATTGGAAAAACTGTGCAAGACTACCCCAGTGTGCACCAGGCGGCACACACCAGAGCTCTTGCCACGGCGCCATCTTTACGGCGCCATGCGAGATATAATACTATGACCGTGATGCATATAGATAGATATCTTTATGAACAACTCAATGCACAATGTTTTAAATCTTGGCATGATTCAAAAACACATTATTTTTTGGAATCATTCAATTAAATATACAAAACAATTAGTATTAATAACTGAAGGCAAGGATTCATTTTCACTGCTCTGTGTGAGTACAGCAGCTCACTTAACCTGCTCTGGAACTACTGCAGGTTTTCCCCAACACCTGAAGCTCAGTGGTGGCCGTCTCCGAGATTGATGCTAATTTAAATGTTGTTTGTCAGTAGTTTAGCAGTCGTCACACACTGTTTTCTCAAACTTCCCCTCACTCCGAGCCGAGATTATTTATGGAGGCCTGCCTTTCATTTATAGCCGGGTCCAGTGTTGACTTGAAACCATCATTATTTATGCATGTTACTCCTTCATATTTAATGGACATTAAACTCTTGGTCCTGACAGCTCGACGTAACACTTTGAGGGAAATATGGCGGGTAAATTTACAATGCTTCTTTCCTGACAAGCCGCAGGTATTCCAGGCAGCATATGCCCAACAAATCAATTTAGATGTAGACTTGCATTTCATGGCGTCGTCAATAAAGCGTCAGGCAACTCCAGGAAAGGATTCTGAAAATATATAAAGAGCTTCAAATCGGAAATGAGAATGATATCAGTCGATGTTACGAATGACGTTTTATCAAGTATTAATATCTGTGTGCGGCTGCTGAAGTCGTAGATAAAGGCAAACAACAGAGAAAGAGACAAAATTAAAAGTCATATGCCTGTATATGCACTGATATGGTATTAAAGCAAGGCAGGGCACGTTTATTTGTATAGCATAGTTCATACACAAGGCAACTCAAAATGCTGAACAAAAGAAGGTAGAAACAGTGAAGCAAGACTAAATAATCACAGTTTATCAAAAAGAGTAAATTGAACTGTTTTTAACCTGGATTTGAACATTGTCAGAGACAGATTAAAACGCTTGCCTCCCCGTGTTTAGTTTTGACTCTGGGCACCAGCAGGAGGAAAGTCCCTGTGCTCCTCAGAGTTCGAGTTGGTTCCTTCGTCAAATGGCCTTTACAACATTTTTTAATAGTTGTTAATTTCAAATATTGTTCAGAAGTCCATTTACTTGTGTAATACAACTGATAATATGAGATTGATAAGTGACAGACTCATTATACAGACAGTGAGATATATCAAGCCTTTATTTGTTTTAATGCTTATAATTGGCTCACATTGTGTAAAAACCCCAAACAATTCAACACAATAAATGACTTATTTTATCATTTCATCAGTTTCACCTGTACATGCCCTCCTTTTTCTTTGATACTTTGCATATCTTTTGGCCTCTCGTTCCTGGAATGCTGGTGTACTTGAAAAGATGAAAAGGTCTGTACACGTAAGGGGGCGACAGCTGAATAAGAGACATGGAGGCTGAACATGAAACATAAAAACAAATCTGCGGATGAAGTGTTCAATAGATGTGCGCAGTCGCAGAATGAATTGATTGGATTTTGGAGGAGATGAAAATCTCCATCTGGAGGCAAGATTTTTTTTAGGAACTGAAGTGCGCCTCTAGGCAGAGGTCTGCGCTCTTTGAGAGCTTTTCTGGTTTTAAATCAAATATTGATTTGAGTCGTCCTGTATCCCTCAGAGCTTCAGGGCTTCACCTTTTGTCTGTTTCACATTTTTGAAGAAAACCTTTAGAGTAAATTTTCTATTATTATCATTCTAACATGTAATGCTAAAGTTAAAAGTCTCTTTACATCATAGTATATGTTATACTTTTTAAAACATTTGATTAGTTACAGAGGTAATTTAAAAGAGGCTGTTGTCCCCTGCAGTCCTGACCCAGATTGGCTTTAACTAAATGGTGTACACAGGCATCACCATGCTTTTCTCCTTCAGGTCGCTGCACTATAATACACACAAACATCTAAAAGCCTTAAAGTGCTCTTTTCCCTTTCATGGAAACGCTAAACACAACTTCAAAGGCTGCAGCCATCACAGCGGGCCATGTATTTTCTCATTTATGTTTCCCAAGATTAATGCACAAAACTGACAATGCCTTTCACTCACTGAGGCTGACACATTGTATAATACCACAGGGGCTGGAGTAGGAAAAGGCGAGTCTGCAGTTTATTTGGCACCACTCCTCTCCACGCAGATGCCATCACCAGTGAGAGCATGTCTACTTTCTGGCCCAAAGAACACAACATCAATCATTCATGCCCTAAGTCTTGTTAAGTTCAGAACACATGGAAAATGACAAAATATATCGGACTAGACTTGGCTGAACTGAAGTGAACTGGCTGCTATACAGTGCAGTGTGTTGGATATGGGGAATCTCTCATAAAAATGTAATGTGGTGTGCAAACTTTGTCGGCTTCATAATTTAAATGACCAATTTAAAGCAGAGGTACTTGAGAAATAATATGCTGTTTGCCGCAAGAGTCCTGTAAACGTAAAATGTTTGAACAAATCAGTCCTTCCTTTTTTATGCTTTTTTTCCAGTCAAATATATTGCTGAAGTCATTCTGTATAATCCAAAGATGTGTTTCTCAAGCTGTGGCGTGCAAGTGTCTTCAGTTTAATCATTTGTTAAAGTAATTTCAATTCCAATCCTTTGTTGCAAGCGTGTTATGCCACAGATGAGAGATACCTGTATTTTTTGTAACTATAGGTATATCTGAACTAGGAGAGTCAAAATTAGTAAAAATGTGTCATGGCCAACAAAATGTATAAAATAAAGAATTGAGATGGACTTTTTTATACTAATTCTCGTCCCATTGTAACACCTGGTTTGGTAAAAAGTCCATGATAAATAAATAATATTTAATAACGCATAATAGCTATGATAACTTGCCATATTATAACCTGTAAGTGTGTCATTATCACCAAAATATGATTATCGCAATTATTAATTGTGTCACAAAGAAATCTTGGCGCATTTTTAAAACAACCTCAATTATTGTTTTTTTTTCTTTTTTCTCCAGGCGCACTGTGAAAATCTAGTAATGAGAAACACTGCAATATTCATTCGATATTTGACAAGAATAAGGAACGAGGTGACGCTCTTTCCGCAGTCTGCTGGTGCTAGAGCGTAGCGCAAACTTCCCAGAAACACAAGTCCAATCTGTAGAACCGCAGGGGGCTATGTACAGATGAAACTTCTACTGGCATTTTTATTTATGCACAACAAGGATTTACCAATTAGTAGCGATATCTAGCCAGGCTGTGGAACTGCATTAGTTAGCTGCCAGATGGGGGGCTGTCAGGAAGTATTAAATTGGACCATGCTCATAAACATCTCATGACTAAAGACAGTTCCGCTGAGGTCTTTATTTCAGAGAGTTTAGAAAATATTAGACGTTTTTTATCTCCGTTCTGGCAGTTCTTTTGGGGAGTCTTCTAAGGAAATATTTGGCCTCTGTCTATAACTCACAAAACTGTATCATCTCATTGGGCTTCCTATAGAAACAGTAGTTGATAGTGGAGGATAGGGTCTGGCGTATTTCAAGTCCACGAGGAACAGAGCGTTTTCCACTCTTTTAAGACTCTCCCTTGCAGATCCAGTGTATTTTAAGCACAAATCATTCAAGTCGGGAAGCCAGTTGTTGTTCTGATGGCAATTCCCCAGAAACAAATCGGCTCAAAAAGATGTTAAAATCCAAACATAGCACTGCACTGATTATTTGTGTATTGGTGGATTCTTAAATAATGAAACACGCCATAATAATACATAAATAAAAGATAAAGGATACTATTAAATGCAGGAACTGAAAATGCTTTGGCAAAATTTACGCATGGAGGAAAAAAAAATGATACTGCTGCTTTGAAGCTTGGGTGACTGCATATAAAGAACTTGTACATGTCCCAACAGAAAGAGAAAGAGCTATGGAGAGGTTTGTGAACATGTCAGACCACAACAAGTGGTCTCCATCTTACTAGAAAAACCTGTTATCTTTTGCATACTCATGAAAGAGCTCTGGGAGTCACTGTTTCACACTTTGGGCTGAGAGATGATTGAAAAATAGAGAGGACCACTCGCGTTCTATCTGTCAAAAAACTTGATAGAAAATGTCAGGCCGGTAAAAACTAATAACAGAATCAAAATTTATTGAGAGCTAGGAACCAGTTTGATGTGTTTTTTTTTTTTTACATTGTGACATAGTTTTTGACAGTTTTTACTTACAATGGCAATACAATAATAATAACAGTAATAATAATAATGCATTGGTTTTATAAAACGCTTTTTGGACACTCAAAGACGCTTCACATGTCATTATTCATTCAGTCCATACACAGTGGTGATAAACTACTACTGTAGCCACAGCTGCCCTGGGGCAGAGGCGAGGCAACCAGTATGTGCCATCGGCCCCTCGGACCACCACCAACCATTCACACACACACCAGACTCATTCTAGGCAATTTGGGTGTTGTGTCTTGCCTAAGGACACAAAGGCAGTTTGGTACTTTACAGCCGCAGCCGCAGCCGCCCCACTGTGGCACTTGGTGTTCCCAGAGGTTAAGTGTCGTGCCCAAGGACACAACGACAGCAGACATCAGTGGGAGTCGGTGGAGAAAGTCTTGTGGTGGGCTCAAACCCACGACCTTCTGGCTCAAAGGCAAATGTTCTACTAGCTGAGCTACTGTCGCCCTTATTCTGATTCAGAATTCTGATTTGTGATTTGCAAGTAAGCTAACAAGGTTTAATAAAATGACAAGCTGAAATCATGACGTGAAATAGAAATGCCAGATGGACATTTATCGACATTTATTAACATTTCTCTACTCCCTATGGTCCCAAGTGTTTGTAATTATTGCATTCCCTGTTAAAACTGTTTGTTTCTTTGATCTGAAAATTGACAACGTTGTAAAGCCACCCCGAGACGACAGCTGTTGACAAATTGAAATGAATTGAATATTATATCGATGCATTTTTAGGTCACACTTTGAGCTAGTTCAAATTCTGTTCACACTTGCACCACAGCCTGACCTACTTCCAAAGCTGTACAACTAAACCTCCACGTTAAGCGGACTGACGTGTGAATGACAAGCAGCGAGAAGCGTTTGTATCTGACTCACCGCACGACAGCTCGTCTGACGTATCTCCGCAGTCATCCTCGCGGTCGCAGCTCCAGGCCAGAGGGATACACCGCCCGTTTTGGCAGGAGAACTGGTCGGCTTGACAGGGCCGGGCTGAAGGGAGGGCAAGAACAAATAGCGGTTGAAAAAAAAAACAAAAAAAAAGTCTACAGAGGAGGCCACTTAATTCAATCACACGCACATAAGTCAATGTTGGATGTGCACAACAAGCCTAATGATCTCTATATCACTGAAATGTCAATGTCGAAAACTATCAGTCAACCAGAGCACAGCGCGCCAGGTCGGAAGGGGCCAAGGGAATACATGGTAAGCAGACGAGAAATTATGGTCTGTTTACAAGCTACAATTAATGGCAGACTGATGTGAAATGGTTGGGGTAAATACACAGGCCGTATGGTTATTGATAAATGAAGGACTGTGGGAAAAATTGATCAATTTATGTTCGGAATAGTGTAAAAAATACATCTATTCTTTACTGTCTTTTTCCATCAGAGGACAAATCAAGACTGATGACTAAAGCATGCCAATTCCTCTAGTATTATCTAAATATACCATGGTTGGTAAGGATAGACCATGACACGTGCTGACGTCTGCACTGAAGAGCTTTGATAATGAAAACAGTTCACACTTGATTGAGCCTCAAGTCAAAAAACATGAAAAACAATTCCATCCACCCATCCATTTTCTTCCCCTTAATCCATTTCTGGATGGGGGGGGGGTGGCAGTCAGAGCTGTATTCAGTACACATAGCACCAGCCCCTCACTGATCCTCCTGCAGGTGGTGAGTCCACAGGAGCCTTGATCTTTCAGCGGGGGCTTTTAGGCAAAGTGGGGTTAAGTGTCTTGCCCAAGGAAACAACGACAGCAGTCATCAGTGGGAGTCGTGAAGTACAGTGGGTCTCATGGTGGGCTCGAACCCACAACCTTCAAGCCTAAAGGCCAATGCTCTACCGACTGAGTCACCACAAAAAACAATTATTTTGATTAATATTTTGATTAATTTCATATCCAGTTAACTGTCCGTGTAAAAGACAGGGTACCCAAAAATGTTCTTTCAATATTAAGATACTATTACTAATACTACTGTATATGTAGTAGTAGTAGTGTTTATTTCGAATTACATGCGCAATACAAAACAAAATACAAAATACGAAACATATAAACATATATATGCACAATTCGAAAAGGAGTAGGTAGAAGTGAAACTTATGCTTCCTACCCCTTGTTACAAACTTTTCTCTTTACAGGAGTTCAAATGATATACAGGCATATATCTCTCAGATATACAATTTACACTCGTCTCCATGAATAGTAATTTTAAATGCTGATTTCGCACCAATTATGTTCTTAGGTCTTGTTGTCACTTGTCACTTGTTGCCATTTTTACCCAAAGCTGTTTATTTAATGTTAACATAGTTATGTATGTAGACCCTACATAGTGCATTAAAAACAGTGGGTAGAATGAGCCAGTCGAGAGAAGGTAATAGCCCCCGCTCAACCCGTATATGCTATAGATATAGAGACTTTATACTTATTATTATGCTTCAGTCAGAGATTTGTATAGATTTTATTATGTATTTTGCATTTAACCCTATATGCCCGCGTGCATCGGTGCCGATGCACGCGCACATGTTTTACAAATGATCAATTTACTCGCGAACGGTAAAACGTAGCAACTTACTTTTTTTTCCTCTGTGAAGTACGTAATCAGGGCTTTCCGATTTGATTGTCTGTGCGATGCACGGAGGATAAACTACGTTTGTCTGAAAGTCCGTGTCCAAAGCATGACCCGTGAGGTACAAACAGCTGTGAGATACAAACACACGGGGACTGCCAAAGATCGTCAGAGAGTGAGATGTCTCACTCCTCTGTGTTTCCTTGTTCTCCCACAGTTGAAACTACAGCTGCGATTGCAAAAACCGGCTGAAGAGTGCGCATTATTGATAAAGACGATAATAAATACAGTAAAATGACATTATGTGTATATGATGTATATAAATATATGTATTAAATAAATAATTGATGTATTTTTTTTTTTTTTGGCTCAGTTTCTTATGTTTTACGTTTTTTACAGCTGTGCTACAGAAGCAACCCCAGCATTATAGACAAACTGCTTCAAGAAGGGCATCAGGAGTACAGAGTTTTTTGCTTTTATAGTGGAATTTTGTAAAAAGTATAATAGTTAGAGATTCAATTTTTTCCCCCATTATCCCCAAGACCATAAATAACATTTCTATGCAGTGTAAAAAGTTGTTTATAGCATTTCATTGTGTTTTTTCAATACATTTTTGTTAAATTGATTTTCCGTTTGATTTTTTTCTTTGTCTTTATGATTCCATCATTTTTATATAATTCATATGACAGCTTTACAATATGAATATTCTAAAACCCCAGGTTGTACTGAAAAAAACCAAGTATACTGCTTGACTCTGCATCAAAAGATGACTGTTTTATGAACAATTATACACAAAGAAAACCAGGCGAGGAAAGTTCCCCAAAATGACTCATGGGCATAGAGGGTTAAATTGTGCTGTGCGCTCCTCATTCCTACTGTTTTTTAACTGGTGATGCAATACTGAAATATCCTACTGCCGGACGAATAAAGGATATATCTTCATCTAATTAATTTGAATCAGTAATGAACCTGAGAGTTTGGAAGAGCTAGGAACAAGTCACACAGGTTATAAATACAGTATCTAGTTACACTTTTTGAATTAGGGAAATCTGGCAACCCAGCAATACATATGTTATCACTATCTGGCAGCTAAAAATATACATTAAACTCACTGAATACCACCCAATGGGCGTTTACCCATTCTTCTCTCAAAGCAGTTTATCTACCAGGTTCAGGGGGAGGTTATCTATCCTGCCATAGACGGGTGAAGCTCTGTCTTGTTGCTGGAGAATGATAGTAGTCACCTGAGCATGTGCTATTGGCTTCATCTTCTCCGTTGGCACAATCGTTCATCCCATCGCAAAGCCATCTTTTGGGAATGCACCGATTGTTGCTGCATTTGAACTGATCCGTGGGGCAAGTGTGGTTGGCTAAAAACACAAAAGAGATATAGCGTGAACACATGCGGATACATAGTGCAAAATGTGTTAAAGTTGCAGCTGCAATCTTCATAGAAAAATTCTTAACTGCAAAAAGTGATGAAGAATAATCCCAAAATGTTCAAATTTGTCACAATGTTACATATTTTGAACATATTCTGGATGTGTTACAAGATTTGCAAAATCTGCAAAATCTGCAAAATTATCTTGTTTTAAATAAAATACAAGAAATGTCTCTCCTGGAATGAGAAAATAAAGTTCTTGAAATAAGACTATTCATGTTGAGCAGAAGTCTTTCATTCGTGCAGCAACTATTGTCCAAAGGATGACATATATATTTTTTACTTTTTAACAAATTGCAATTTTCCTGACTATTTGCACAACCATTATCTTTTGTGCAGCAACCCTCCTCCTCCCCATAACAGCCTCGTAAGCAAAACCAGCTCTTCAACCCTTCTGTCAGCTCCCACCACAAAGGATTCCGTCCCCTTCTGTGATCCGTCCTGCTGTGCTCTGTCAGGGTCTAAGCACCGTATCTTAACCACATTTAACGTACATCAAATAATACATTTCATTCTTACATATAATGTCTGCAGAGTCTTATATGCTAAATTAATTATTTACCAATTACTAATAAATACTATTCAAATAACCCTTTAATCTGTTTGTGTCTCTCCAGACTCAAATGTATTTTGCTTACAGGCTCCTTTTTTATTTGCCATACATCCATCCATCCCCTCACTGATCCTCCTGCAGGTGGGGTTAAGTGTCTTGCCAATGACAGCAGACATCAGTGGGAGTCGGTGGAGAAGGTGTCGAGGTGGGAATTGAACCCACGACCTTCAGGCCTAAAGGCCAATTCTCCACCAACTGAGCTACTGTCGCCCTTTTTTATTTGCTTTCCAAATAATTCAGTTACATAAGTTTCAGAAAAAATATATATGCAGTTTGACCTTTTCCAGACATAAGACTTTTTTCACCTGAAATATGGTGAAAAAAACACCATATTTCAGGTGACTGGTGGACTTTTACTTTCCAACCTTACCTACAGACACTACTTTAATATCACACTGATTTTTTTAGGTTTTTTTGTCCTGCAGTGGAGCTTCTCACATAAGTGTTATAACTGTTAGTTACTGTTGATTGTAGCGATTTGTTAAAGAGCAAGTTTTACACAAGTAACAGAGACAGCGCGTGTGGAGGAGGAGCACTTTTCACCCTGCTTCAGCTTTGACATTTGCAACAAGAAGGCTGCCTACAGGAAGAGTAAGCCTTTTAGAGCACTGCGCATGAATCCACATCTCAGTACATCGTCACAACTCATGTTTTATACGCCAATGTGGCAGCAGAAGTAATTTCAGAAGCTCCATTTGCGTAGTCTAACAAGGCTATATCCTCAGCTGACATCCATCCAACATAAACACTATACATAATGAGACTCACTTTGATCCAGGGTTTTCCACTATGTGTGAATCAAAATCAAGTTGTTCAAGTATTTTCAAGCCAATTAATTTGTAGACATATATTAAGTGCGTTTGGCTAAGAGCTGCTTGGCAAAATAACATTAAGGTTACGGATGAATGTTGCTGCTGTTGTGTGAGCTGAATACAAAAGTTGTGTTCGAAGAAAAGATATCTTCTCAAAGCCGCCCACCTCCCAGGCTGCCCTCTCTCTAACTTGGATGTGCCTTCGTGGAAGTTGGCTCAGCCCTGGTCACGCCTGCACCCTGTCTGTCCATGGGAGTGTCCTTACTGTGGTTCTATTCTATGTTTTTGTTGTTTTCTTTCACCAAAAAAATCATACAAAAAAGGTCATAAATGTTTGAATCAAATGTGTTTGTCTTAATATGAGTAAATTCGGACTGTCTTATAAAGAGATTTGTCAATATCTATTTAGTCTTATTTCAAGAACTGCTTTATTTTCTCATTCCAAGGGAGACATTTGTTTCTTTTTAAAACAAGATCATTTTGCCTTTTCCATTGGCAAATATTGTTTTAAGTCAAAATATGCTAAAATTAAGAGACATTTACTGTAGATAAATGTTGACAATTTTTGACTTATGTTTCATCTTTTTTTGCAGTGTAAGGATGATTATGATCTGTCTGTGATCACTGTTTGCTTGAATTTCTAATTGGCCATTGGCAAACGAGAATTGTGTGAAGATGATTGGCAGTATAAAAAATCAATGATTTTATAGTTATATAGTTATATTTTATCTAAGACACCTAAAGAGTAGACCTTTTAAAAGTTCTTGTTTTGTTTTTGCAATGCACCACTTCTCCCCAAACAAACACGTTCTCAGGCAAAGCTAACCATTGCGAGAACATTTATGCATACTTTTTTCTTTTGTTTGTATTAAAAAATCTAATTCTGCATTCATTGTTCAGTCCTTTGGGTTCGTATCATGTCTGCCGAGTCCTATGCCCTAATTTATGTAGTGACAGATTACTTATAATAAATATAATATTACTAAATAACCCCCTTTTTGTCTGTTTGAGTCTCTCCTTACAGAAATATCTTTTACATATCTGCTCCTTTTCAATGGCTTTCAAAACAATTCATAGTAACTTCAAATACTAAAGAAAGTAAAAAATAAAGCAGTTTGACATCTCCCAGAAAACACATCATATTGAGGCAACGTTTTTCTTTACAAGCAAGTTCTCAGGGAAGTTATATAGGGGACTTTTTTTCTTTGTGGGTGTCTGTAGAAATCCAATTTATGGGAAGAAAAAGAAATTGACGCATGCTGAATTCCTCCACTGCATTGTCATCATTGCACTCGGTAAAAACGTACAGTAAACACAAATTCCGAGCGAGACACAGCATCTGCATTTGAGTCTATTTCCTCTTTTTATCCCCCGCCCGATTCTGTTTTTCAATAGAGCCCGAGTTAAGTGGACATCTCTTACAGCAAATGTGATTCTCCTCGTCGCTCCCATCCAGACAGTCATCGTCGCCATCGCACTTCCACAGGGTGCGGATACAGCGCTGATTTAGACACTGGAACTCATCACTTTTACAGCGGTGCACTTCCACAACATCAGTGGAGTCGTCTGGGGACAGGGAAAAGAATGAGGAGGTTATTGGGCAAAGCCGTGACAGCGCACACAGGCAAGCTCATAATTGTCTCATTTAAGCTGCTTCTTCCTGGGATAGTTGAAGTAATATTTGGCACCAGTGGAGAGTGAGTCTGCATGGGCCCAAGCAATGTCCTTATAAGGTTTGAATCAGAGAAACTAGTGTCCTTATTCGCGTTAGAAGATAGAAACACATTTGAAAGGTTTATAGGAGGATTTTTCTACTTCCGGGTAAATCATCAAGACTATTGCTTGTACTAAATGTCAATCATTCTGGTGATATGTGCTCGTCAAATAAGACCAGTGGGTTTCGTTCAAAAAGTGGACAGGGCGGTTGTTTCCTAAAGTTTGGTAAAATCCTCCTACAGTATATACATTTAAAGTAGCAATATGAAAGATTGTCATGTCAAGTCTTCATTAAATGGCTCTAATCTGTCAAAAGGCATTTATAAATCATGATATCTTTGAACAACAGTAATAACAGTGGTTCAGGCGAGATATTTTAATTTCAAAATTAGATTTACAGCCCCTAGATTTAATCGTTTTCATTAATTGTTCACATATTTGTTGTGTTTGAACGGTTTGATTCTCAGATCTGTGTTGGCGTTTTCAGCTGTTTCGTTAAGTCCTCGGAGATAACTGCTGATGTGATTTAGGGCGTTACAAGAATACATTGAATCGAATTGAATTTAATGTTCACAAATTATCGTATTGTCATAGTTCTGCTGCTGGACACAAACTTACAACCTCTAAAAGTCAAAGAAACAAGCGGTCAAGATAGGACACGGTTTTATTCCCAGAAAGATAAAAATACCCATTCTCGCTCTCACATTACTATTACTGCTAGAAAAGCATGATTCCCCCTGAGTATTCATGCATGTGTTGCCGGGAATATGTGGCAAGATCAACTTTATTATGTGACTTCAGTCCCAGGGGAGGCAGGGCACTGGATTACTGCGTGCGGGTAAAAGATGATCCGGATTTGGTTTTGTGTGGGATTCAGGCGTCCTCGTACCTGCACAGGTGACATTGTTCTTCTCCAGGACCTGGTTGTCAGCACATGCGCACACTCGGCCTCCAGGGATGGCCAGACACAGAGTACTGCAGCCCCCATAATTCACGCTGCATGCATTGTCACCTGCGGAGATAGATTCAGAAAATGTGTCTGGCTCATTTACACGTGTTTCTATAAGTGAATGCTCAACATGTCTGAGAACCGGCTGGGCTTGTTTTTTCAAGGTTGTGTCAACTGCTTACAGAATAAATGCATACAAACAACAATATTCTCGCTTTGGCTGTTTGGGAGAGTGTGGTATTGGGGTGTGTTCCAGCTTGACTTGAGGAGCAGCAGAAAGGGTTTAGATTAGAGAACAATAAGGCACTAACCACTCAGATGTGAGGGTGCCAGACTGTTGGCATCTCTCCCAAGTGAAACCAAGTTCAACCACGGTAGAAGTAACTAGTATTTTTCAAAGTTTTAAAATCCAAGTCACTACAACTTGGATTGAGTTTTAGGATCAAGAAGTTTCTATTCCCGGATGTCTGCTGGCCTTTTAATCACAAAAATAAAGTCACCCTGTACTTGATTGTAGAGAATTTTCCAACCTACTTTTGACTGAATCGGGCCGAGGCAAGCTGTTAAGAGCAATGCCTCCAGATCTCCGGTTTGGCTTTGTCCGGACCAGCGGGGGAGGGTCCCGGCTCCAGTCATATTTTGCAATCGGACTTCTCGCCGGTGGTGGTGGTGTACCCGGAAACAGAACTATCCAGTGATTTCTTAGGCAACCTTTTTTCCTCTCAAAAATAGCTTTACAGGGTGGTCCAAAAGTTTGCTCTTGGTCAATGCTGGGGGTGTAATGGTGTGGATTTTATTTTGACATTAGTTCTGCGGTTTCTATATGTACTTGTGCTCCTCTCCCCTTGTTGCTGGTTCATTGTCTTTGTCTACGTTCCGTCTACGATCCTGAGTTTCGTTTGGATTTTTGAATTCATTTTACCCTGGACTTTTTTTATCATCTTCATTAAATCTTTATTTTTGACATTCCTGCATTTTTGGGTCCTTCATCTCTCACCACATGACAGGGGGTATTTTCTTTTTGGAGCAGCCTAGTTTAGCAACTGTGGAATTTTGAATGTACTCGTTAAATGATTGAATGGCATTTCTCAGGTTTGTGCTGGCTAACCCATTTTGCGGTAGGGGCCACTCGCTGTCATTTTCCAAAAAAACACGGCAGGAGGTAAAAGCGATCACTATGCCCATTAATAATTACAGTCTATGGTCTGCATGAAATCTAGCCAATAATGTCAAACCCTTCTTTTGGTAAGGCAAAATTATTAGCCTCCTGCTCCCTCCTGCCGAGCAAGGAGGAGTTAGAAATGTATACGCTCATGTATTGCTACATCTGGGCTTACCTTTGAGTGGCTTTCTAAATCCTTTAACATTATTCTATTTCAAGTTCAAACTCAGTTCAGACTCACTTTTGCAATGGCATACTAAGTGGATGGATGACTGAAAGACTTTTACATTTTCATCCTTCGCGGCTGCATAAATTGTCTTTCTCCACAAACTGTCACATAAGTAGCAAGTTAGGCATAAGACACCTTTGTCACTTTCATTAAACACAAGCTCTAAAGCAGCAGCTGAGCCAATGAGATAAAGCATTTGGTTTTTGTACAGGCCAATCACTAATACTCAAAGGAGCAGACAGCCAATTAATCTATTCAGTGACATGAACAATGGAGGAATGTCTGGATAAATCCTGAGCAGGGTGTGAACTTCTGTAGGCCGAGGAGACTATAGCAGATATTATAGCACTGGGTATTCAGCACTGGACTCTCCTACACAAAGTCTGGACTGTGTAAATCCTACACAATCTGAGCTGAGAAACAAGTACAACAATAACGTTGGTGTAAAATGCTTTGTGTTCAGAAAAATACCTTCCATTGTTGGTGGTTCAACATTGCATTTGTTGCTTCTATTGTGTGTAGAATGAATCTTATTGCAGGCAAAATTGGCCTTTAAACTAAACTCATTATGTGCGAGGCTCTCTCATGAAGGAGATTTATTATACTTAATCATGTTTTTGAGCTTTTAACCTTTTGTAATGTCATTGTTCCCTCATCGAAAATATACATGGATTGGTTTAGCTACATTCACAATAATGTCTTCTGGCACAAATTGGCACAAACATGTTCTGTATCCCTGTTCATTAAAGAATTTTCATTTTATCGTCCAGACAGCTTCAGATTGTTCTCCTTTCTTCAATTTCTTTAAATTTCATGTACGCTTTGAGTAACCCTCAGACTATAACATCATGTCTTTAAAACCTTGCAACAATAGTTTTCTGCCCTTCGATACAGATATTACAGTCTATTCATGTTTTATTTTAGCCATGTTTTTATTTATATTTTCTATTTAAACCTATTTAAACCTCATTTTAAAAAGTTAATTAAAAAAACCATAGATAAATAATGTGTCAATAGTTTTGGTGCACACCGGGGTAGTCTTGCACAGTTTTTCCAATGTGGTTTTACTGCAAATGGCAAATAAATGAATCTGAATCTGAATCTGAATCTAGTGTGAATACTGTAAAATAGTTGTTTGTCAAGGGTGATGAGCCTCAAAGCTAAAACAGAAATTGATTGGATCCTTCAAACTGGGACTGGATCTAAGGATTACAGATGGAAAATAGCATAGTCCTAAATCTGGTGCAGTCTTTTTTTTATTTTTCTATTGTAACTGTAACTGTACATTGTCCTTGAATAAACTAAACTAAACTAAATCTTAAGAGGGCATGTTTTCTCCTTGTATCTCCATGAAGGCTATCAATACCATAGAAAAAATAGCTTGCATTCATGTTCCAAAACTGCATTTCAATTGGAAGGCGAATCCAAATATTTTCCCAGATCATTCATTCTTCAGTGATTTGATTCACATACCCACAATCTGCAAGTTCCTTCTCCTTGCAGAGATAAGAATCACGCAAATGTTTTGTTTTATTTTTTATATTGTGAATTAGACCATAGTTGATCAGCGCTGACAAACACATGTGGAACTTTGTGACAGTTTTCTTACTGTTCCCCGTGGATTGGCCCGAAAAACTACAGACTAGACTTCTCACAATTATCATAGTTAAAACTGCCCTCCACCACGCAATTGTATGTCACATGAACGTAACCTAAAAAACACAAAAATATCTATCAGTGCGCTATAGCTAGAAGATGTGCAGACAAGATGACCCATCTCTGTGTCTAAGTTCTATCTATTAATAAAACCACCCATCTGTCAGACCACGCAGAGTAAAGAAGCTTATTTTTCTCTCTTTCAGCCCAAAAGTAGCGAGGATTGTGTGAGTGGTGCTCTGGTATGGGAGTCACGCTCTGGTGGCACTACAGGGGCACTAAATGAAAAGCAGAGCAGCCAAACCTTGCTGACTGTGAGCATCGTAGACTCGCAGGCCGAACAGAGGTGGTCTCTCGCTCCGGAGTAAAGTCACGTCGCCGCTGTTCAAATCCAACTGGAACACCGAGGCGTTCATGTACTCCGTCCAAAATATGAAATTCCGATAGTGAGAGATTCCAAAGGGGTGATTCAGCTCTTTGCCGTTGTAGACCACCTGCAAAAATACATAAGAGTGACTGTTAATTATGTTGTATGTGGTAATGATTTGACTTCACTTTTTTATGGTTTCCTCAAGCATTAGGTAGATAATAACTTTAGGCATTTTTACCATCAAACTGCATCCGAACAATTTGGTATCGTACTACAATGTTTTTAGAGGTAGGCGAAACCAGAAGAAACTGGAGCACCCGGAGGAAACCCACGCAGGGGGTAGAACATTCAAACTCTTAAAATCGTGTTGTGTCCAGTTACAACAGTCATCTATCCACTTTGTTTTTTTCTCTCTGGACTGTACATCTCTTGTCAGTTAAGTGCCACATTACAGCAGGGGTGTCCAAACATGTCAGTAGGAGGGCCACATTAGTTCACCACCTAATTCTGTGCTTCAAAATGATCTATAATGGAGCTGCAGCTGGCTGACTGACAAATGCTTACCATCTCACCAGCTCACAAGTCAACGAGATGTACTGAGCTAATGAAAACGTTACAACCTGTCAATATTGGCTAAGCTGAAGTTGGATGGATGACACAGTAAAATTGTGTTTATGATCTCAAAGACTGCTTTGGGTTAGCATGCCAGACGCCCAAATAAAATTACACTGAGAGCCGCAAAACAACCTCTGCTGCTTACAGTGTAGTGTGGCCTTAATATGGACCGCATCTACTTTCTTCTCAGATTGGTCCAGCGAGGCTTAATGGTCCAGCAAATATGGTAAATCCTAAATCCTTATGTGCATAAAAGTGTAATCAGAATGCATCAGTCAGCAGACATGTGTGTCTATCTCAGAAAACATTTGCAAATCGCAGCCAAACACAAACAAAAAATCTCTTATCAACTATAGTAAACATATTGTACTCCGACATAAGTTATAATGACAAAATGCTACCGGTGCTGGCAAATAAAGAGAATATAAAAGAGTTATAGAAGGGCTTATTGACTATGGAGAGAAATCACGGAAAATTCTATCAGCCCAAACCGGGATGGAGCTGTTTGAGTATGGGCCCCGAAATGATTTGATAACGGTATATGATGAATGCGATTCAATTTTCCTCTGCACAAACCTATTCACACTGTGCTGACTGCCTCTAATAATGTTTGCTGGAATCTTGGCATTGATTAAATAGAATTTGCAAATAATTCATTAGCGTAATCTGCCAGACGAGCGCGTCCGACAGGAGCGGTTAGGGATGGAGGGACGTCTTGTTGGCTTTTGTTTTGAAGGAGGAGCACTCTATCACTGTGGGGCTCAGACCTGCACTACACACACAGAAACACACACAGAAACGCACAAACACACACAGAAACACACACAGAAACGCACACATACAAACACACACAGAACTTATCTGCAGCGGGACCATTGAGGAGGAAACAGACAACTCAAAAATTAATATTGCCTGTAGAAGGTGAGGAAGGTGTGTGTGTGTGTGCGTGTGTGTGTCTATGCTGATGTATGTGTGTGTATGTTCTTTTCTTTGTTTTTTTGTTAGTATTGCTAGTATGTTTAATACATATTTTTTTCTATATCATATTTTTCTATATATTTTTATTTGGTATTACTGTGAGAATTCATAACACTTTGAAGCAACTTTTGTTAAAGTTAAACTCATCATTCTATCAATGTGCAGAAGCCTGTACTTTTCCCTTGTTTTGTCTATCTGAAGGCCAAGCTACATGGCACTGTGGCAGCTGCTGATTGGAGGTCTCCATGCCTCCGCTCTGTATAATACACTTGCATTCTATTGTTCGTGTTGTTCGTGCTGTCTCTACCATTGACAATAAAACATGTCTTCTGTCTGAATTTAAGACACGATCCCAGACTTTGTCATCTTCTTATACTGTTGTTAATATTATTACTACTATTATTATTACTATCATTATTAGTATTATTATTTTTATTATCATTAAGTCACATTTTCCTTTGCTTTTTTATGTTTCTGATTCATGAAATTCTGACCATTAAAAGACTAAAGCCAAAAATTCTAAAATAAACAATAAAAAGAAAAGCTTTTCTGCACATGAATATGAAGTAGCATCTGCAGCTGTTTGACACAATTTATAACAGTGTTCAGCTCAGGGTTAGAAACCAGGAGTTTTTGCCGAAAAATTTCAAGTGTAACTCTGCTTCCAGGAGTGTGAACTTGGTCAAATATGTGGGAGGCAAAACTATGACCATGAGGGAATAACACAACTTTTTTATTGTTATAGTAAAATCATGCACAAACTCATGTACCATTATTAAAAAGTGTTACCAGTTATGATTTCACCAGCACAAACAAAATGTATTTATGGTTTTTTATTCTTTGTCAGAGTAGACGCGTCTCTCACATTTTCACAATGTTCATATCCAGGTCAAAGACTGCTCTGTTTGTCTTTGCTACAACTGAAGGATTTAATCTCTGTTTAGTTCTTCCTTTGTTTTTCTTCCATGCTAGAGGCGCTATCTGCAAAAAACATAGTCTCCATCCAAATCAATAAATGGACGTAGAATCAGAAAACAGAGTAAAACATGAATAAAATAATCTATGAAAAAGCCGTCAGTCTCCACATTCCTCAGTTTGTGATTCAATGCATGTGTTAGGGAGTCTGTGTGCAAAGTGCAGAGAGGATTTAGCCGAAGCTTGCTCTAATCACTGAGATACAACCAAAGTCAGGCCGAGCATCACCATTTTAATATGTAAAAGGCACATTTCTCCACAAACTTGCTTCTAGTACTAACATAATTGGAATGCAATGTGGTTACAATTCAACTGATTTCTCCTTGGGGCAGAAATTTTAACACAAAGTTCATTTGCGCTTATTCAAAAATGGCTAAGACTTCCCATTTGTGGTTGTGGTGTACCATACTGACGGGAATTGTATATAGAGTATTTATGCACTAGAATAAAACAGTACTTTATACTTGCTTCATTATGATGCGAGGGTATTTTTTGCTTCTTATTACAAATTATAGACTACTCTTATTATGATAAAGCTAGAGATTTTATTTTATGTGGTTTTATTTAGTAGAGAGTTTATTTATTTATGTATTAGTTTATTTGAATGGGGACGAAACACTCATCAACATTGCTGCAAACATTACAATATAAAAGTAAATAGTTAAAACATTACAATTTTATACATGAAAACATACAAAAACAAGCAACACATCATGAGTGGCTACAATCCGGACTGTCCAATAACCAGGTTTTTAACGTATGTTTAAAAGTCTTGAGTGTGGTGCTCTTTCTTATATGGACTGGTATCGTGTTCCAGAATTGAACGGCGCGCACTGAGAAAGCTGATTGGTTAAAGGAACTTTTTCTCAGTGGGACGACAAGATTATTAGAGGCAGCACAAAGAGCTCTATAGTTTGGCATAGAGCTGTGTTCATTTATCTTGTGCTGTGTGCTCTTCATTCCTACTGTTCTGAAACTGATAACATTAACACTGATTCCATATTTTTGTTTAAATTAAACGGCCAGCGAGCCTTAAACGATTCTGCCGTGTCCTCCCTCCTTTGTGTTGCCTCCTTAAGCGAAGTGAACACAATTTCACTCACCATCCTCCCGGAGCCGTTGAGGTGGATCTTCTCGATGTGGTCGTAGTAGGCGTCGCACCAGTACATGGTGCTGGTGCCGTGGTCCAGTGTGAGTCCATTGGGCCAGAGCATGTTGGAGGTCACAAATATCCTCCTGTTGGAACCGTCCATCCAGGCCTTCTCTATCCTCCCAATGCTGTCGTTCACCTCATCCTCCTCCCAGTCCGTCCAGTACATCCAGCTGCAACAAAGTAAGTAAGTAAGAAATCTTTATTTATATAGCGCCTTTCACAGACCAGAGTGGCAAAGCACTTTACCCTTGTAGTGGGCATTTGTCTCTCACTCCACACAGAGATGGGAGTGAGGTCGCCTACAGGAGGAACATTCCAGACCTTTTGTACATGTTTTATAGTGGTAGGGGAAACCGGAGCACCCGGAGCAAACCGGAGAAAACCAGAGCACCCAGGGACCCAGGATCTTCTTGCTGTGAAGCACAAGCGCTAACCACTATGCCACTATGCTGCCCATAAGTAAGTAAGTGTGCACTATTCATTTACAGTATGAGACACATTTTTTTAAAACCAATGTCTCCTAAAGCGCTTTACAATGTTGAGGGTTCAGATATTTTTCCATCCTCTCCACACGGTGAAGTCAGAAGCGAAACGCCGAACACACACTGAACCAACACCATCCATTCACTCACTCAGACTCACTTACATTCAGACCTATTGTGCATGTTTTTATTGGAAGGGGAAACCGGAGCACCTGGAGGGAACCCACGCAGACATGGAGAGAACATACAAACTCCACTCAGAAAGGCCCTGTTCCAAACAGGATTCAAACCCACACACATTATCATTGTAACAACTATTACATGAGGTCTTAAGCAACAAATTTTGAAATGTTGTATTGTATTCCTTCAGTTACAATCTTCAACATGTTCTGTTAATGGCAGTATACTTGAAGAAATGTGCGCGAGAAGGGGTGAAACTGTATTTGTATGGCACTTAAATAGATCTGGCTTTTCACAAAACTACTTGGGAAAGAGAAAATGGAAAGATTTTCCAATTTGTTTTCATGGCACTTATCTTTTATATTGTAAACTTGAAATTCCAATGTCAAGGGCATCACAAAAAAGTCCTAAAAAGTGAGTCAAGCCACAACAGAAGAAAGAGAAAGTCTACGCAGAGGCATTCTCAGATATTCAGACTTTGAGAGTGTAGATTCTAAGCTAAAAAGAAAAAACAAAATCACAAAAATGACAAGTGAAATATTGATATGGTAAAGCTGTACAATAATTCTTGGATAGTTAGATTTATTTCAAACCTGCAGAACACAGTTTCATGTAGCTTCACACTAATGCAGGTTTAAAAAAGGGGTTGGATAAAGGAAACCATTTTGTTTTCAACCCCTTCTTCAACAAATCAACTCACATAATACATGCAGAATGATACAGTGTGGTACATACATACTACTGTAGGGTATTGTATATTACTGTATGTACATATGTTGTATTTTCAAGAATTACATTTTGCCTTTCGCTATAAGAGCTCAGACTCTTTGGCGCAGTGGATTTAAAGAACAAAACACAACATGGGGAGATGACGATGAGGAGACTCTGCAGTTCTAACATGCATGCTAATCTCTTTGGGAAAGAAAATATTACAGTATAAATCCTTATCACAGTCCTTGACGCCGCTGTCACATCTCACACATCATGTTTCCGATTCCGTGCAGCTCGACAAACTTAAATATTCACAATATCGTTCAAGTTTGTTTATAAAGCATTGCATGAGTACACAAAGAAATGTCCTTAACGATGATTGAGCATAAAACCACAAGCCACAGCGCAGATTGTTTTTCCTTATACGCTGCAATTATGTACAAAGTGGATGAAGAATGCAGGTCTTTATTTTCAAATGCATAGATGATAACTTGTGTGACTCTAATATTAATAATGCATTTTCACAAAGCGCTTTTTTGGACACTCAAAACTTGGGCTTCAGGGAAACTGCGGTTGTCCTCTGAACGTATCACAACTGTTTTCATCTGATTTTAAATACAGAAAATTCATGTTATACTAGTGGTTACATGATGTTGGAGTATGCATGAGGAGCACACAGTATGAAAACATGCAAAATTGTACATGAACACTGTATACATTGAATTGAATTAGTTTGAATGGAATCATCAGTTTGTCTTCATAGCAAAGAATATTCAAATATGAGGTAATAAATGCTAGTGGTTTTCTTCCTTATTTTTGATCACATTCTGACTGTGTTAAAACAAGATTTGCCAGTGCAACTAGCCATTTAGTTTTATTTCAAGAACTGTTGGCAATGGCAAATATTGTTTTAAGGCAGTCGGAATGAGATCAAATAAAAAGTTAAATTTGAGACATGTTCTAATTATTTTTCATCACTTTTTGAAGTGTTTTAACCACTGAAACCGAAAGCTGACTTTCCCCAGATCCGTGTAGTTCCGGCAGGCTCCACCAGAGGCATTTTTCTGAACTCCATACAAGGATGAGGACAATGCAAACTCCTTCTAGACAGCAACAAAATAATAAACCAATCAGGATTGTCGGGCGGGATTTCATAGATGTGACGCAGCGTTGAAGCAACTGCTTAGTTCAAACAACAAAGCGTTGCGAGCTGAAGTAGCGCGTAATTTCAGATAATGAACAAGTGGTTTATCCAATCACATACAATGATTTTTGTTATTGTACAAGACCCCGCCTTCTGAAATGCTTCTCCTATTGAGAAATCCCAGATCCTTGCATGGAGCTCAGCGAACTACAAGGATTTGGAGAGAGTCAGGTTACTAAAACCGTGCAGCCCTAATATCCAGGCCCTAGAACATTTCTTGAAAAGGACTAACAAAGAAAAGCTGACAAGTCAAAGTAAAATCAAAGTAAAAAAAAACGGCAATACATGCACAGTCGCCAATACATACTCAGTCCTTGATGAATGATGCAGCACATTGGCATAACACTAGTAATCGTAACATGTTAGAGTAGTGGTTGCCTTGCCATAGCGTGTGTTGCTATGCCTTATTCCCACCGTCTCTGTTCTGTTTAATAGTATCTCCTGCTCCCCCTGAGTGCAGAGAGCTTATCAATCAATACACGGCCGACACACCGCTCCGGCTGTTGTCTTTCAGAATGATGAATCTTATATTGAGATGATGTGTGTTATCCAGCCCGTTGCCTACACCCGGGTGGAGCCATAGATTTGCTGGTTACAACAGGGGAAAGAGGGACCAGCGCTGTGCAGAGGCAAACATACAGTCAAAGTTCTGCATAGGAATGTGCTCTCACGCTAAGGAAAGTGTGTGTGCCTGAAATAAAAATGAATGATATGTGACTATAGCTGCATACCGATGTTGTGCCAGAGAGCTCATATTTACTGTATAAAGCACTTTTCTGCTTTGAATGTGCGGAATGAACTAGGAACGCCTGAACTAGCGTGAGTGCAAAAATTAGAGGTAAGAAAAGATGAACTTTGGTGGACTCACAATGGATCGATTTAAGGACACATTAGTCACATTTGGCAAAGAATAAGTTTACAGTCCAGAAATGTGTGTGTCTTGCCCAAATATGTTAATATTAATGGATTCTAGCTGCCAACCCTCAGACTAGAACATGAACACTAGTCAAACTCAACTAATGTTTACACCCAACAAGCTATACATTTGATTTTTTTTTTCCTAAACCATGGTTCATATGAAAGTCAAACGTCCTAGGGACATAAAATATAATAAGATGCAGTGTTGTGCGTGAACGAGTTCAAAAGAACGCGTTCATTGAACACGCTCATTTTTTTGTGGACGTTGAACTGAACGCAACACATTTTTTTAAGAACTTTTATTATTAGTTCCTTTTATGTGTCATGAACGGCAGACATTACTATAAACGTTGGAATCTGTTTTCTTTTTTGAGAGAAAGTTCCTCCCTCCTGTATTCTCGCACTTTTTCCGCCGAAATCTAAAAATTCCTACGGTTTCCACCGCCTGTGAACGCACCCCGACTCCGTGTTGCGGTGCGGCGCTGTGAGCTGGTGCTTTTCACATGTGCTCGAGTCGTGATGAAAACACAGGGTGAGTTAGCGGCAAAGTTTACACCGTTTACATTTGACATAAAGTATAGACACACGCACTACAGCGCATAACTTAAAACATACACAACTAGAATTGGCACTTGGAGCAGGCATACCCCGCCAACAACATGGATCATCTCAAAGTGTCTTTCTGCCATCACCTTTTATTACACAAACTTGCCTAGAGACAGACACACAGGCACACAGACACATACTGTACACCCATCAGTTTGCGGGGAAATAAATACAAATCAATGGTGAAGAGCTGAAATATCTTCAGTTTTGTTATCCTAATTTATAGATTAAAAAAATATATTACAAAAATAATGCAATTATTATAGTTGCTAGCTGCTCAGAAGAAACATAGTGAAATGCATAAATAACCCAGTGTTAAACCGAGAGAGATGGTATTATTATGTATTCATATTGAAAACATTTCATAGATAGCAACAATATCCAAAGCATCCCACGCATTAAACATTTACTCCATCAAATGTGATAAAAAGATTCCACATCATAGTCCCCCAACTTGTCGAGGCACTACACGATAAACTGTCACTTTGCCGCACATCAAGGCGAAGTTACTAACCCCACATTTCAGATCAGAAACTCTGCAGTCCAGAGCGTGTATGCAACCAGGACTGCAAGTCTCAGCGGGGGTAGCCTCTCTATATCTGGAGCGTGATTGGGTCGACGATTTGACGGGAGTAACCCAGCCCTGGGGGAATTTCTACATTTCAGTGTTTCTGACTGAGCCTCGTGGCCCCCTGTTCCTCATCAATGATAGAGGGGCGGCTAAAGGGAAGATGAAACGGAAAGGGATCTGCAGGTGAACGAAGACTCCCCGTGTCTCCGAGTCATCTTTACAAGCCCATGAATTATTCAGGGATGCACACTTACATGCATAGGCTGAGGGAGACATAGGCATTGACAACAGGGGATGAGCAGCAGATGGACTCGCTATGCAGTTGTACTAAAGCAAGTGCTGCAGACTGGCCAGCGCAGAATCCTAAAGTCAAACAAATTGCGGTCGAAGAGTGCAAAGAGATTGGATTTTTTTGTGTGCAAACATCGAAGTTATGCATTGCAACGCCTCCAATAAGTGCATTCAGATTTGATTATCTTGTGTTTTTATGCACGCAGATTACTTAGGGAAGAATTGAGGCGAACCTTGGACATGAACGCATTTGGGAATAAACACGAATTCTAATTAAAAATGATAAAGTATGTGTTTGTAGTAGATGGTTTAACAAAATGGAAAGCTTAGTATGTAGTAGTATGTTCAGAACTCCAATATATTTTCAGTTAGGTTGGGTAGAAATTGAAAGAAAAAATTGAGGGGATGACAGAAAGACATTTACTGAGTATTTTAATCCATTCATCAATCAATCAATCCATCCATCCATTTCTGGTTCTGGGGGATGGCAACCAGCTGCCACCCAGTTCACAGGGCACCAGTCCCCACCTGCACATTTCTTGAGTATTTCAGTAAACCTACACATAATCTTGTTTGTGGGAAAGCATTCAAATTCAGAAGGTAATACAAGGGAGCAAGTGAAAGCATGCACCCAAGGCCCTTTATAAAGACAGTTATTATAGTAATGATCAAAAAACAGATTTGTGCCATTAGAAAAAAAATATTTTAAAGACTTACAAATTGTCCTTAACCAGGTAGTTTCTTGAAAAGCTAAATCTATTTTAGTACCATACAAAAAAGTGTCCTAACCCTTGTACTACCCTGTGGTCAAAAAAATACCCTAAAAAAAGAAAAAAGAATTGGCTGAATTTTGATAAATAACTCCAAAACTCCTAACTTGAATAGTCCTTAGACCCTAATTTATTGTTTTTTTTCATCAACTTTTAATCACTTTTAATGATTTTGACCAGAGGATAGCTTTCAAATGTACTGCCAAAGAGAAAACGTGGATAACATTGTAGCTCGGAGTACAACTTTATTACAAACGGCGATATATCTGTGTTTGCAAATAACCTCTTCATGTGGTTCTTGAGAGCTTCGGAACATTTTTCTTGTTTTCTTAGTAGATTGTATTTTTATTCCTCCTTTGAACGTAGCAATATTACCTTGACATATTTAGTCAACGGAAGTCGCTGTCGAAACATGTCAAGGTAATATTTACAAACTGACAATGTGTTATGGAATGAAAATAAAACTAGATTCTAGGTAGCCTGTAATAAACCCTGTCGAAGTCCAATCCGTACAATGGAAAAAAACATGTTGTCCATCCAGCCCTTGTTTGTATTATTTCACTTTGCCAATCAGGACCCTCGTGTTAGTTCTAATTACTGAAGGCATGAAAGAAACTTGTGTGGCCCTTACAAAGAGCCGCTACACCATGCAAACTCATTAAGCTACACACAATCATTTCTATTCACAGCACAACAAACTTCACTTTCAAGTTTGCACTTCTAAGCCAAGCCTCCATAAAAGTCGCAAACCGGGGGTGCGTGTGGACGATATGGAAATGCATGTATGAACTTTCTAATGCAGCACGGATAGACATTTACGACAGTGTTAAGTTGGAACTAGTGGTTCTTATCGTGTCAACGCAGATGCCGACGACAAGCCGGGCAGAAAATAAGGTTGCAATAGGATGCGGTAGGAATCAGTGGGGGAGTTGTCCATTTCACCCGATGAGACCTCTCCAACAGCGTAGATACAGATCAAAGGACTGTCTGCGGCTTTAGGCTTACTTCAGGGCTCCGGCCGAATAAAACGAAACGAGATTTTCTAATCATCTGTGCTGTCGGAGGGAGGGCGAGAGTTAAAGTTATTAATCCAAGGAAGAGAAAAAAACACTCTGATAGCTTGTATCTGTTCAAGTTGTGTGTGTTCATACAATCTCCAGCACCTGCCTGTTACAGGGGAAGCAGGGGTCTAGACTTGCAAGAGGCTTTCACTGAATACTGAATGGTGATGTAAATAATCAGAGCTGCCATCCAATCCTCATAGCATCGGCCCCTCACTGATCCTCCTGGAGGTGGTGGGTTCATAGGAAGATGGCTGCTCTGTCAATAGAGACACAGCCTTGGTATTTTAGCAGGGGATTCAGGCAAAGTGGGGTTAAGTGGCTTGCCAAAGGACACAACAACAGTAGATTTCAGTGACCAATGCCCTACCAACTGAGCCAGGGTCACCCTCATTTGTAAATTATATATGTTGTAATTGTAAATTATACTAGCACTATGGCAAATACTGTTGATGGATTGTAAATTGAGATGAGATGGGATGAGAATCAGCACCTCCAAATCTGAGGCCATGGTGCTCGACCGGAAAAAGGTGCCTTGCCCTCTCCGGGTGGGTGGAGAGGCCCTTCCTCAAGTGGAGGAGTTCAAGTATCTCGGGGTCTTGTTCACGAGTGAGGGAAGGATGGAGCGTGAGGTTGACAGGCGGATCGGTGCAGCGTGCGCAGTGATGCGGTCTCTGTATCGGACCGTTATGGTGAAGAGGGAGCTGAGCCGAAAGGCAAAGCTCTCAATTTACCGGTCAATCTTCGTCCCCTCCCTCACCTATGGTCATGAGCTTTGGGTAATGACCGAAAGAACAAGATCGCGGATACAAGCGGTCGAAATGAGCTTCCTCCGCAGAGTGGCTGGGCGCTCCCTTAGAGATAGGGTGAGGAGCTCAGTCACACGGGAGGAGCTCGGAGTAGAGCCGCTGCTACTCCACGTCGAGAGGAACCAGTTGAGGTGGCTCGGGCATCTGTTCCGGATGCCTCCTGGACGCCTCCCTGGGGAGGTGTTCCGGGCATGTCCCACCGGGAGGAGGCCCCGGGGAAGACCCAGGACACGCTGGAGACTATGTCTCTCAGCTGGCCTGGGAACGCCTTGGGGTCCCCCCGGACGAGCTGGAGGAGGTGTGTGTGGATAGGGAAGTCTGGGCGTCTCTGCTTAGACTGCTGCCCCCGCGACCCGACAACGGATGAAGCGGAAGAAAATGGATGGATGGATGGATGGATTGTAAATTGTGTGTATATATAGTATGTACAGTATATACATTTGCATGTGCATGTATACACTGTAAGTGCAGTAGGCAACATAACAATATACAAAAGTATCTCCATAAACATTGTAAATACTTGAATGAATGTATACCTTCTGCTCGAATGAATGTTCTGGATGTTATATGCTTTCATTTTATGAATATAATTTATATATGCAAACAATAAAACACTTGTGAATGAGATTGGGTTTAAGTAACAATCACAATGTAAAAGAAATAGAATGTATGAATAATTAGTTAAATAATAATGTCTCATGAGTTGGATAGCAAAAAAACTGCATGGCACTGTTTTCAAGTTAATTAATACAAATACTAATGCAAACTTCAATGCAATTAAGTGCAAAAAACACAAGTTAATTCCAGTATTTCAACAAAGCTCATTACAGACTTCCCACGATCTGCTGTTGTTATGAAAAAGAACAAACTATTCCCAAAATAATAAAATGGCCGATCAACATTTTGGTCACACAAGCTGACATTGACCAGTTTACCCGGGAAAAAGCCAAAGGTTTGTTTTCTTCAGGCATAGATTTCTGTTCCTCTAAACAAAAAAACCTGAGCAGTGAATCAGAAAGAAATCATTACATTTCATGATCGCACAAACAAGATAGGACTGTTTTGCAAGATTAAATCAACAATGTGTTGACATTACACTAACCTTTATCAGTAAGCATGGACTCTCGTGACACAAAGACCCCTTTCTGCATGTTTTATTTGCAACATTAAAAGCGTTTAAGCCTCTGGTGTTAATCCTATAGATGTTTTGGACACTCATTGGATTAACATGCAAAAGAGAATTACATGGTAATTTATGTCACTGCAGGACACCGTCTACTGCGTATGTATACAGATGGCTATGTTAGAGGAAAATGCTAAGGTTAGCAACTGCCATTTCAAATAATTATCATGGCATTAGTTCTAAGCCCAGATAATTAGAATGCAGACGAAATGATAATCTTCAACATGAATAGTAATAATAGATTGACAGAAGACCAAAAGCACATTAAAGGAGCTATACCCGATTCTGCAAGGTTTTTTCAGTTTGAAAGTTTAAAACTGCCCCCAACTCACTGGCTTCTCATTTTGAGAAACCCTCCTACTCTCCCCTGCACTCTCCTTCCACGGAGCCATCTAGTGATAGTAGCGATCTGATAAGAATGCAAACGTCAGCAATAGCAAAACTTCTCATAAGCTGCACAACAATCAGTGATGAAATGGTACAAAAGCAACGTACTGCTAAGAAAATATACAGTACAATAACTGAACAATTAACTATCAAGTAGAATAACCACCAGTTTCATGTCCAAAGCACCGCCCCTCATTGTGCAGGTGGAGAAGAACTAGCGTCACGCAAAATGTCAACTCAGTATTTTGCATGGCCTGAATTCATACATATAAGCTGAATCAATGAGCTCAACTTTTCAATTAATTACAATTTTTAATACAACTTGTAATAAGTATTATGCATTTTTATGAACTCATTACAAAATAATAGCTCCTTCAATCTTAGGACAAAACAGCGGTGAATGGAGTAAATAATTCTCATGGCATTTACCTGTTGAGTGGGTCGACCACAATGGCCCTGGGGTGAGACATGTTGCCTTCCAGCAGAGTCTTCCTGGTCTGGGAAGCCTTTTCCAACCTGGCAACACTGATGGTCTTCCTGTAGCCATCGTTGGTCCAATAGAGATTTCTGCCAATCCAGTCCACTGAGATGCCCTCCACATTGTCCAGCTCTGAAATAAGAACATTTCAACAGTAAGATTTGATATAACAACGCCAAATGAGTGGTTAAGAGGTGGAAAAACCACAGTAAATATGGGATTTTATTTAGGGAGAGAGACTGACACATGCAAGATTGGACCCATTTTTTGTCAAACATGTTCCTTTTGTATCTATTTTCCTCCCAGTGCAGATAGGCATCAAGATTAGCATGCATAATTTAAGAACTCACTAGCTATTTCATGACAGAGAATCTCACCAAAGTTACAGCTTAAGATGAAGCCAAAACTTAGTTTGCAGATGCCTAAATTTAGAAATACTTTGAAATCAATGTGTGTATTGGTACCAGCTGTTGCTCTTTGACAGACATTTTGCATATATTTTAAAGACAATTCATACTAGGTTTTATGGGAAAACAGAATACAGCTACTGTGGCTAACTCCTAATAGCTTACTTTGACTGTAAACATAAAGGCACATATGAATAAATATGCACTGTTACCGTTTCAAAAAATAATTGCATAAAAAATATTTGACTTGGGAGAACAAGTTTGTAAAAAAAATGGTTCCGATCACTTTTTTTTTAATGCCACATCAGTACGTACGATTGGTAATACAATCTTCAATGTAGATGACAATGAACAATATACATATAGCACAAGCCTAGGTATGGATCATTACAATAACTTTCAAACCTCCATTGAGTAACAACGTCGTATAAACTCTCACCGTCTTTCAGTATGGTCTCTCTGTTACTTCCATCGATCTTCTGTCTCCCGATGAGAAAACTAGTCGTATCCGCAAAGTAGATATATCCAAGTTCGGCGTGGTAGTCTATCGCCCTGGGGTTGACGAGGTCCTCAATCGGGACCATGTGTTCATCGGTAGATTTGACGTTCATATCTAATCCACGGATAACTCCCGGTCTACCCTTGCCGTAAAACAGGAACAGATCCGACTTGGGTTCTGAAAGGCAAGCAGGAAAAGGACAGTGCAGTTTTAGTATTATTGTCAATTAATTGGTCTAATACATCAGCGTTACACCCAAGCATTAAACCCTCTTACAGGCGCATTGTTCTTATATGTGAGCAAAACCACGACCATCCATTCACCTTAATAGACCCAGTAATCAGTGCCAATGACTATACTCCAGCCATTCAATCACAGACACGGCCACTGTGATGCGGTGACAGCGGGGGAAAAGGGAAAACGCACGAGTAGGCTCACAATGGAAGACTTGCCTCAGCAAAAGAACAGGGGTTTCGAACGGCGACACGAGGACTGCAAATTGGGAAGAGTAGAGACAGTCTTTTTGAATCATAGTTTGGTTGTTTTGTTCCAGTTTTTTTCTTTGCTGGTGGTACAATTTGTAGGTATGTCACATGTATGAAAATTCAGGAACATTGGTCATACCTCTACCCCATGGACTTTTTTAATGCTATTGCTATGCTCTTATTGTTTGATTCTCTAATTGTCAATTCTTCTCGAATTGACAATTTAGTAAAATGACAGTTTTGCTCCAATGTGACTTCCAGTAATATTTAGGCCCATACTTTAGCTGACTCTGGGAGCTAAAGAACAACAAGGGTTTTCACATTTTAGGCCAATTGAGACTGTGTGTGTTCCTCGCACCAGCTCAAAAATGTTTTTAAATTCTAAAAAACGAAATCAAAACAGGACAGCAATTAGACGGTCCAACCCTGCAAATCTAATTTCTGTTCCCTGTAGAAATCAATCAACCACATTAATCGACTCTGACGTTATTTTTAAACTTGCTATGCTTAATGTCAGATCTCTATGTAACAAATCATTTTTAATTAATAATTTTATCACTTCTTATGATCTTGATTTTATGCTTATGGCTGAAACATGGCTGGACCAAAATACAGGAAATGCAGTTCTAATAGAAGCAACACCACCCAATTTTAAATTTGAATCCGAAATACGAGAAAACAAAAGGGGGGGAGGCATAGCTGCAGTTTTTAGAGAGCACTTTGTCTCTCATAGAATGCCCCTTGGAAATGTTTCATCGTTTGAGTATATTTCTTTTAAAATGGAACAAAAGCAATCTTCTACTCTTTTCATTGTCCTGTACAGGCCACCACAGTCATGTTGCGATTTTATTGACCATTTTACTGAACTACTTTCATTCGTGTGCACAGATTTTGATAGTTTAGTTATTACAGGTGATTTTAATGTACATGTTGATAATGTTGATGACAGAAATGCAAAGGAGCTGGCTTCTGTGTTTGAGACCTTTGGTTTCATTCAGCACGTGAGTGGCCCCACCCACAGCAGGGGGCACACTCTTGACCTGCTAATTACAAAGGGGGTTAATGTATCAAATGTTAATGTAGTTGATGTTGCTTTGTCAGATCATTTCTGTGTATTTTTCGACATGTGTTTTGCTAGCAAACCACCAGCTGAATTTACAATTGTTAGAAGAAGACACATACATGAAAACACAAGTGAACTGTTCATGGGAATGCTAAATTTTGAGAAAACTCCATGCTCTACTGTTGATGAATTGTATAACTCTGTCACCACCAGTGTTCTGACTGTTCTGGACGCCATTGCTCCTGTGACGGTTAAAATAGTTACCAGTAAGAAAAAGGCCCCATGGACTAAGGCAGACTCGGTCAGGGCACAGAAGCAAGAGTGCCGGAGGGCCGAACGGAAGTGGCGAAAGTCCAATTTCCAGGGCGATTATGGAATCTTTAAAGTTGAGTTGGGTGGAATTTAACCGGGTTCTACGTAGAACAAGAGAAATGTATTTTTCTGACATTATTGGAGGTTGCAGTAACAATTTTCGTGTTATGTTTTCAACAGTTGGTAGATTAACGAACCCCCCTGTAAAGTTGCCCCTAGAATTTTCCTCTAAATCTAGGTGTAATGAGTTCGCACAGTTTTTCGATGACAAAGTACAAGGAATCAAAAACACTATCACCCCCACAGCACGTATAACAATGCAACAGCCAGAGAAGCTTTTTGAGCTAACTCACTTTGCACCTGTGGATACTGAAACTGTCAAAAAGATAATCATGAGTCTGAGCTCCTCCACATGTAGCCTGGATATATTGCCCTCTAAATTTCTGAAGTCCGTCCTGAGCAGTTTGTTACCTTCACTGACACAAATAGTAAACATGTCTCTGTCGTCAGGAACATTTCCTATGGCCCTAAAAACAGCAGTCATAAGACCTCTCCTAAAAAAGAGCAGTCTGGATTCTGCGGGACTTCAAAATTATCGCCCCATATCGAATCTGCCATTCATTGGAAAAATTCTTGAAAAAGTGGCCTCCCAACAACTTACTGAATTTTTAACAATGAATAATTCTTTTGATATGTTCCAGTCTGGGTTTAGACCCCACCACAGCACTGAGACCGCTCTAGTGAAGGTAACAAACGACATTCGACTTCACACTGATGCAGGTAAAGTCACAGTTTTGGTCATGTTAGATCTTAGTGCCGCGTTCGACACTGTCGACCATGAGATCCTCATGCAGAGACTGGAGGACTGGGTTGGTGTCACTGGCACAGCCCTAGACTGGTTTAGGTCTTACCTGGAGGATAGGAAGTACTTTGTGGAGATTGGAGACTGCGTCTCAGATCATGTGGCCCTGACCTGTGGAGTACCACAAGGGTCGATCCTGGGACCTCTCCTATTTAATCTCTACATGCTGCCGTTAGGTCAGTTAATACAAAGAAACAAAGTGTCCTACCACAATTACGCCGACGACACTCAGATCTATGTCTCACTGACTGCAGGAGAACATGGACCACTGGATTTGCTCCTTCACTGTATCCAACAGATCAGTGACTGGATGCAAAATAATTTCCTCCAGCTAAATGCAGACAAAACCGAAATCATTGTCTTTGGTCCCCAGAAACAAAGAGAGGGCGTCATTTGCCAACTTCAGTCTCTCTCCCTACTTCCTTCAGACAAGGTCAGAAATTTGGGGGTAATACTGGACTCAGACCTAAACTTCAATAGCCACATAAAATCAATAACATCAACAGCTTTTTACCATCTGAAGAACATTGCCAAAGTTAGAAATATAGTGTCCAGGGCAGACTTGGAGATTCTTGTCCATGCATTTGTCTCCAGTAGGCTAGACTACTGCAATGGCCTGCTTACAGGTCTGTCCAAACAGACCTGTAAGCAGCTGCAGTACATCCAAAATGCAGCAGCTAGAGTCCTGACAGGAACCAGGAAGTATGACCACATTAGTCCGGTCCTCAGGTCACTGCACTGGCTTCCTGTGGCTCAGAGAATAGATTTTAAAACAGCTCTGCTTGTGTACAAGTCTCTCCATGGCCTTGCACCAAAATACATTAGTGACATGTTGGTGTCATATGAACCAGCCCGGACTCTGAGGAGCACAGGGACTGGCCTCCTGCTGGTGCCCAGAGTGAGAACCAAACATGGGGAGGCTGCGTTTCAGATCCATGCAGCTAAGATCTGGAACAATCTCCCTGAAAATGTGAGGGAGGCGTCTACTCTGTCAATGTACAAATCCAGGTTAAAGACTGTTCTGCTTGCCTGTGCATACAACTGAAGGATTTTATCTGCATTTCTAATGCACTGTTGTCATTTTTTTTTTTTTTTTTTTTTTTTTTTTTTTTTATTTCTTGTGTAATTTTGAAAGTTTTAATGGTTTTATTCTTTTGTGTGATTTTAATGTTTTAATTGTGTTTTAATCTTTTGTGTGATTTTAATGTTTTAATTGTGTTTTAATCTTTTGTGTGATTCTAATGTTTTAATTGTGATTCTGGTGTTTGTTTTATGTGATGATTTGTGATGTGGACTGTGAAGCGCTTTGTGTTGCCCTGTGTATGAAAGGCGCTCTACAAATAAACTTTGATTGATTGATTGATACAAATACAAATGTAGTTTAATTCAAAACCTTTATTCCATGATATTACATCCTGATTTAGACAAAATATGTTACTGGTGAGAAATATGGTCTGATGGTATGCACAACTACTTTCTAATTATTGGTCTGATATATGGGTTCGAGCCCACCACAAGAATTTTCACTGATGTTTGCTGTCGTCGTGTCCTTGGGTAAGACAATTAACCCACTTTTGCCTGATTCACACCCCCCCCCCCCCACTCACAAATGGATTAAGAAGATGGATGTATGGATGTATGTCCTGATATAATGGGATAATGTCCCAAAATCAAGGTTATTTTGACTCAGCCAAGGATTGTGTTGAAAGCACAATCCGAAAAAGCTTTTTTTATCATTGAATTGGTCTTGCTCATTTTACAAGCATTTTATAATTTTTTTAGTATCATATAATGACTTCTATGACGAAGTGAGCTACTTATTGCGTAACACTAATTCTTCTTAGATCTTAAACCCTAGGTGTCAAAGTCAAGGCCTGAGGGCCTGATCCGGCCCGTAAATGAATGATCTTGGCCCCCGAATGATATTTGATTAGTATCAGAACCGGCCGCACAAACAAATAAGGAAATATTGGTTTATTAATGTATTGTTCAGGACGTACTGTATGTTATCTCTTTGAAAAAAGTTTATTTTTTTGTGTGTGACCCTGTTGAAATTACTGCCGTACAAAAATATAGGATAATTCATTCAATCGTTAAAAAGAGTACGGTTCATTGTGTTAGATCTTGGTTTAAAAGGTTATATACAATAATTTTAATATGTTTTAATAAAAATAAAACTAGTCTGGACTTCTTTAAAAAAAATATTTTCAAATAAAAATACAAGATTAGGTTAGCATTGAAAACCACTGTTCTAAAACCTATTTGCTTCTGGCCAGACAAGACAAACTGAAGAGGCCTAGAAAGCTGAGGTAGCTCCTCTGCAGCCGCCCGCCTCCACGCCTGTGTGCTCTGGGGGCTGTGTG